GAAGCAAACAGAAAACCCACAGAATGGGAGAAAATCTTCACCAGCGACACATCTGACAGAGGTTTAATACCCAGAATATATAATGAACTCAAAAAGCAGAGAATCAAGACAAGAAGTAACCCAATTAAAAGATGGGCTAAGGAGTTCTCGAAAGAATAAGATGGCTATGAAGCATCTTAAAAGATGTTCAACATCACTAATAATTAGGGAAATGCAAATTAAAACCACTTTAAGATTTCATCCTACCCCAGTCAGACTGGCTAAAATCAAGAGAACAAATGATACCAAATGTTGGAGAGGATGTGGGGAAGGGGAACACTCATCCCCTGCTGGTGGGGCTGGAAAATGGTTCAACCCCTATGGAAAGCAGTGTGGAGAACTCTTAAAAAACTACAAATGAACATACCATTTGACCCAGTTATACCACTCCTTGGCATATACCCAAAGAACTCATCCTATCGCAGAGACACATGTACATTCATGTTTCTTGCTGCTCTTTTCACAATAGCTAGGAGCTGGAAGCAACCTAATTGTCCTTCAATTGACGAGTGGATAATGAAATTGTGGTTCATTTATACGATGGAGTTTTACTCAGCAGTAAAGAAAGATGAAATCACGAAATTTGCAGGTAAATGGATGGAACTAGAAACTGTTATACTAAGTGAAGTAACAAAGACTCAGAACAAACATCGACATATGTTCTCCCTCATATGTGGATCCTAGAACCAAATCCTGATAAGTGAGTATGTATCCAGACATAACTACAGGAACCAGGATAATGGAAAGGAAACAGGGAGGTAAAGGAAAAGAAAGAACCTGAAAGAGAAGAACAGTAGGAAACAGGCCTTAATAAGGGAGATATGGATAAAAATTGGGTTAGTTTAAGGGAGGGGGGACAGGAAGGGTATACAAGGAACCTAGGGGATAAAGGGAAATAAGGAGCTCAAGAGAGGTAGGAAAATGGGGTAACCTTAAGTGGGAAAACCATGAGGGAGGGGTGAGACAATGCAAGAGATACACAATGCCTAACTAGTTTTGAAAACCAGAGGGAACCATGTTACTCCTACAACCTACTGACAAATTATACATAGCAGATCAAGAAATATAAGTCTAGGTAAGGTTTATCTGAGCCCAAGATTTAGCTACATGACACACAGTAATTAAAAGTACCCGACTGGTGGAAGTAACCTTCTTGGATGTTTAACAGACATACTTTGAGGCCTATAATAATTTGGTCAGAGGGACATAAAGGACAGTTTTTGCTCCTAGCCCTCCTAGGTCAACTAGTTCCAGGGGACTATGAACATCTCTCAAAATGTC